ATAATATTTGGTCTTTTATGACTGGCTCCTGCAACTTAGCTTAGTGCTTTTTGTGTTCATTCACGTTGCAGTATGTATCCGTGGTTCATTCCTTTTTATGGCCAAATAAAATTTCATTATATTAATATACTGAATTTTGTTTATCCATTTGTCAGTTGATGGAGGGATAGTGTTTTATGAAATGAGATTTTAAATCTCCTGATTTTTTACATCAATTGATGTTCAAAGGTCAACTTTTCCCAGTGACTCCCTTTCCATTATTTTGGATGTGTTTATTGTGAAGATTATATATTTCTTTGGCTATAACATTTTTCTCAAGTTTTTTTTTAGTTTAATCATCTTTAAATTGCCCAGCTTTTGGTCTTTTACCATGTTGCCTGCAGTTTCAACCAATGGCACCTGGCCTTTTAGGGAGTCCAACAAACCCATGCTCTTGTGAATCTCCTTTCTCAGTCATAAGATCTAATCTGAATTTTTCATAATCTGTTTTTTGTTGAAGAGACACCAAGAAATTTCAGAACACATGAAGTACAACAAAATGATCATTTTTTACCAGCTTGCATGACATTAAAAACAATTAGACAAATGTAAGGACCTGTTTTGAATGGTTACTTTTTGATTTTCTAGTTTTTACCATCAAATAAGAGACATACTTTTAGGTATAATTTTCCATTATATGAATATTTAAATAGACTTTTTTTTTAAGGAGACAGAATAACCTTATTGTTTCTTATTTGCTACTGTTACTATTACATTAGGAGCAGTGACATTTACACTGCGCTTTAACATGCTTGTGTGGACCCTTAACATTTATAATTAGCTTTGTAATCACTGATAATCATAGCACGTAAATTCTATGTGCATTGTTCATTCAAACTCAGATTTATATATTTCTTTGTATAAATGCAGAAAACATAACCACCTTACTAAAACTATAGATTTATATTAATAGCCCGTGGTCAGAATTAGTTAGACTTTTTAGGTTGTTAATAAAGCTTTTTTGTGGGATGTTTAAAACTGTAGATCTTTGACCCATGTTCTATGTCTTTCTGACTCAACATCTTCTTGTTTCCTTTTGATACTTGGTTGCAAAACTCTTCAGTACAACAGGTGGATATTCGTTTATATTCATCATAGATGAATTTTGTAATCAAGTACAAATGAAATTCACATGCAGTCATGCAGTTCATGCTGGTCTTAAGTAAGCCTACTAATTGTCCACTGTGCAAAAAAAAAAAAAAATGCAGAATTTTTTCACTCAAGCTGCATTGTGACTTGGACAGTTAGAAAGTTGATTTCTTCTACCAAGGCAGTGTTATATAGATTCAAGTCAGTTAGTTTTACATATTAGCATATGAAAACAGGAGGGAAAAACTGTCCTGAAAATTATACCGGGAGATATTTGCTGACTTAGTCACCATTAGTGTCAAGTGAGGTCTTTAGAGTCTTGGTGGCAGTGTGAAGTACAGTACTGTCTTAGTATATCATACAGGACTTATATAAAAGTGCTTTTTTCATCTTTTTTATCTTGTTTACAAGATCACTGTCTACGTCTACAATGCTTGCAAGCCATTATTTTGTTTATTGCAATGTATGCTATGGCAAACTTGGAATAATTCGCTTTCAGATTTATTACAGATAATTTGCTATTCCACATTTTCCTCTACTAGGGTAGAAGTCGTGTGTGTGTGTGTGTGTGTGTGAGAGAGAGAGAGAGAGAGAGAGAGAGAGAGAGAGAGAGGAAGGTCTCACTCTTTCACCCAGGCTGGGAGTGCAATGGTGTGATCATGGCTTACTACATCCTTGATCTCAGAGGCTCAAGCAATCCTCCGACCTCAGCCTCCCGAGTAGCTAGGACCACAGGCACATGCTACCATGCCTGGCTAATTTTTTGTATTTTTATAGAGATAAGATTTCACCATGTTGTCCAGGCTGGTCTCAAACTCTTTGGCTGAAGCTATCTGCTCGCTTCGACCTCCCAGATTGCTGGGATTACAGGCATGAGCCACTATTCCCAGCTAGGATAGAAATGTATTCGAAGAACAAATGTTCTTTTTTAAGCCAGCCACAGTGGTTCATGCATGTAATCCCAGCACTGTGGGAGGCATAGGCGGGTGATCACCTGAGGTCAAGGGTTTGAGAACAGCCTGGCCAACGTGGTGACACCCTATCTTTAGTAAAAATATCAGAACTAGTTGGCCATGATGGTGGGCACCTAAAATCCCAGCTACTCAGGAGGCTGAGGCAGGAGAATCTTTTGAACCTGGGAGGCGGAGGTTGCAGTGAGCTGAGATCATGCCATTGCACTCTAGCCTGGGCAGCAAGAGCAAAACTCTGTCTCAAAAAGAAAAAGAAAAAATTCTTTTTCCTCTGCCATTAGAGCCTTTTATTAATTATTGTGATGCATTTTCTTTTACCACTGTACGTACCTGGCTAATTTTTGTATTTTTTGTAGAGATGGGGCTTTGCCCTGTTGACCAGGCTGGTCTCAAACACCTGGGCTAAAGCCATCCTCCTGCCTCGGCCTCCCAAAGTGCTGGGATTACAGGCTTAAGCCACTAAACCTGAGTGGATACTTAAATTAATGATTAGCTTTTTCTATAAATTAATATTAATGTAGGCCATGTATTTAAGTATTAAGCATTTTAAAATATTTAAAATTTCATAATTCATATTGTAAATCTTGCTATACTCTCCAGAAATTAAAAAGGGGAAAGAATAGTTAAAAAGGTTTTTATGCCAGGCGCAGTGACTCATGCCTGTAATCCCAGCACTTTGGGAGGTTGAGGTAGGCAAATCGCTTGAGCTTAGGAGTTCGAGACCAATCTGGTCAACATGGTGAAACCCCATCTCTACTAAAAATGCAAACATTAGCCAGATGTGGTGGCATGTACCAGTAGTCCCAGCTACTTGGGAGGCTGAGGTAGGGAGGATCGCTTGAGCCCAAGAGGAAGAGGTTGCAGTGAACCATCATTATGCCAGTGCACTCCAGCATGGGTGACAGAGCAAGATCCTGTCTCAAAAATAAAAGAATTTTTTTTTTTTTTAGTTTATATAGGAGATTAGCCAAGGTTGATGGACACATGAAGGGAGCTCCTTGTGAATAGCTTTTTTGGTTTTGTGTGTGTGTGGAACACCAAAGCCCAGAAAGGAAATCAGTTTTTTCCACTCTTATTGTGATTGGTCCTTCGGAATATGTGTTTTATGTTTCTGTTTGCCTGAAAGGCTGTATTTTGCCTTTTAAAATTTTGTGTCAGATAACTAGGGTAAGTGTTCCCAAACAAAAAATAGCTAATAGGAGTTTTATTAATTAGCCTTGTGTATAGTTCTTTTGTGAAGTACCCTATATATTAACTGAAACAATTTGTGCTTTCCTGAGAAATATTATTTGATGAGAAGATTGGTGTTCAATTCACATAAACTTGCAGAGTTCAAACCAACTATAAGTATTGTAAAGCTAAAGAGACCTCAGCTTTAGTGATAAAAGAACCTATCCTCTGTGTTTGAGCTTTGGAACTCATTCAAAATACTTTCAGATGTACTTTTATTTAATATTCAGATATAAAAGTGTTACCAAACATTGATTAATTTTTTACTAAATTATTCTGTTTTATATATTTTAGATGTACTTTTGAATATGAATATTTATAATTTACTTATTTTTATTGTAAGTTTTCTTCAGTTTTCTATAGGTAATGAAAATAAACTGAGTCATAATTGGGAGATTTGTCTTCTCCACCACTAGATGATTTAAGAGCCATGTAAAACACATAAACGTTTCTGAACCGTAATAGTAAAACAGAAATAATAATCTGTGTGCCTACCTTAGAGGATTATAGTATGAGTAATATGGTATTATGTATGTCAAAGTGTTCATTTATTTATTAAGACTAAATATGTGTTAAGCAATTTGCAAGGTGTTGGAGTAAAACAATACGTTGGGAAGAATCATAAGAGATAAAACAATCATTTAAATATAATATGTGGAAACTTTCTTGTGCCCATTAATGATTGTCATTTATTGAGCTTTTCCTGTTGCCAGACAGGTTAACACTTACTTTATGTTCATTATTTCATTTGAGTGTTTTGCCGCTGTTGTAGTGTCATTGTTACTATCATTTTACAGATGAGGAAATGGGCTCAGAGAATCATGTATTTTTGGATTGCCTTTTGAGCATCTGTTATTTGCCAGTATACTCTGAAAGCCCAACAGACATGTCTGTCCCTCCCTTCATGGAACTTAAATTCTAGAGGGGAAAACAGACCCATATCAGATAATCACACAAATAAATATAATATTCACAACCTGTACTAAGTACTCTGACAGATCCATTATGACACAGAAGTCTAATGGGGAACTAGTCTTGAATAGGAGACAGGGAAGCGGCCTTAGGGAATGAGTAATACTTGAAATCTGAAGAATGGGTAGGAGTTAACAATTTAAGCGGGTCCAGAGCATGGTATTAGAGAAATAGGCATTGAGAATTTGGATAACAGAGGAGTCCGCTGTGTCTAACCAAGGAGGATGGACAGCCACTGTTTTTACTCTAGTAGGCAGAATCTGACAAGAGGGTGAAAATAACCTCAGTCAAGCAAATGTAATACAAAATGATCAACCGTGTGGATCTCTTAAAAGACAGAATGTTCTTAGAGGTGGGGAGAGAAGAGAAATGTGAAAGTTAATTAGGGGACAGTTTGAATCGTCTAGAAAAAAAACTTTCGGAATTATGGTAGTAACAGTAAGAGTAGAAGACAAGAAAGGAAGGGATAGATAAGTTCTGTAGGAAGGCAGAATATCAGTGAAAACTGTGCCCATGACTGTGAATGGAATCGTAACTCAAGATTCTTAGCTCGACATGATGTGCATGCCTGTAGTCCCAGCTACTCGGGAGGCTGAGGTGGGAGGATTGCTTGAACCTGAAAGGTCGAGGCTGCAATGAGCCATGATCTCATCACTGTACTACGGCGTGGGTGACAGAGCTAGACTCCGTCTCTGGAGGAGGGCGGGGGTGAGACGATTCCTAGTCAGTGGGCTGGAGAGCTGGTTCTGATTTCTAGATCTGTGACTTTGCTAGTTGAGTGACTTTAGGTAACATGGTAAATTATCTCTACCTCAGTTTCCTCTCTGTGAAATAAAAGTAATGATAGTAACAACTTTATGCTATTTCCTGAGAACTAAGAAGGCTTATGTTTGTAAACTCTGTAGCACAATGTCTGGAAAATGGCACATATTCAATAAATCTAGCTATTATTAATTATAACAGGTAATAATTTACTATTGTAAATAAATTAAAATCCTGAGGTTTGGTAGAGGAAAGGACAGGAATAATGAGGAGGAATCGTTCTTCAGTCTATGTAAGGGTTTCCTTTATGTTCTTGGTTAGGGTCTCTCCTCTAAACCCACTGCCCCGTAATCCCAAACTATCAAATCCTTGAGCACAGGGACACGGCTATCCACTTCCCACCACTTAAGAGGCAGTGCCTGGCTCCAAAGTGATGGTTTTTGCTTAGTGATGCTATTTGAAGCTGTAGGAGGGCATGAAATTGCCAAATTAAAGAATGAAGAGCTTGGCCATGGGAAACACCTGTATTTATTTACAGTGGAGAGAGAGAGAGAGAGAGAGAGAGGAGAGAGTAGTTGCTGCCAGAAAAACTAGGATAATCAGTCTCTACAGCCCAGGAATGAAGGAGAGTTAGTGCTGCAAGCTGCATCAAAGTCTGGGAGGACAAGGAGACTAGAAAAAAGGACCAGATGGGATGAGAACATTGCCTCTCAGAGAGAGTTTCAGGCACGTGTAGGGCAGAACCCAGATTGTGGAGTTAAAATGTAGGTGGTGGTGAGGAAGTGGAAGCACTTGTTGCTGGGTGCATGGATTTCTCTTTCAGGAAGTCAATGGTAAAGGTAAGCAGAAGGAATAATTACTTTTAGTAGCTTGCAGACTTAAGAAAATTTATGGTTGTTGTTATGATTGTTCTTGTGGAGTATGCTGAGCATGTTCACTGCTGCCTCCTTTCAGCCCATGTCTGAGTGCCTCCAACCCTCTTTTGCACACTCAGACCAAGACCAAGCTGTATGTGGTGCATTCTGTGAACTACAAACTTTGAAAATGCAGGTATGAAGAAAAGAGTAGACAGTTTCTAATAACGGAAATTGAGGAAAGAGTTACAGGGCACCCTGGCACCTTTGTTAGGCTGGGTACTGCAGGCCTACTTTACCCAGACCCGAATACTAATCTCTGCGTAGATAGGTGGGAACAGTCTGACAGTTTGCTCTTTTCTGCATACCTGCATTTTCAAAGTGTATAGTTCACAGAATGTAACACATGCAGCTTGGTCTTGTCCCGAGTGCCCAGAAGAGGGTTGGAGGCACTCAGACATTAGCTGAATGGAGGCAGCAGTGAACATGCTCACAAGAATGAAATAGTCTTTATTTTGACTCTTCCCGACTGTCTCCTTGTAATGCACATACATTTTGATGTTTAACTGGCTTTGATAGTTTTATGATAATTTATGTTTTTGCATGTGGGTGAGTTGGCCAGTGATCACATTGGTTCTTTTTTGTTGTGAATAAATAGTATGTCAAAGTTTTATGCTGTTTCAAAAATGTTATTTAGAATAAAATTTCCTTTGAAGCCACAATAGTCTCTTACTCAAAATATTTATTTAGACCATATTGTTTAAATACATATAATTCCCTTAAGGGACAACTGTAGTCTATATAAATCTGAATTTAAAACAAATAGACCTTCTGGAATTCATAGAAATACAAAATGGATATTCTAGTGCTTAAGTGTTTATATACAAAAGGAGTTGAGGTGCTCCAGTGTTTGTATGTTTAGGTACAAAAAGAATAGAATTTGTAAAAAGAAATGATGATCTAAAAAGTTGAATTCCTAAATGACCAGATGTATAAAGTTATTTAGTAAGACAAAATATTTGAACATAAGCTAGTTCAGAGTAAGTGAATGAATGATTCAACCAGTAAAAAAAATAAATAGACATAAAAATAAAACAAATACACAGTCTCTTAATTTGCTCTGGTCTTGAATATGGCTGTAATTAAAGTTGATGAAAGTATGCTTTAAAGACAATACAAAATTAGGATATTTTTATAAAATAAATATTATCAAATTAATGATTTAAGTATTTATGTCTTGTATGCTGGAGTTTATATTAACTGTCCTTGAAATATCATCTCATTTTATTGGCCCTACCTTGATTTTGGTAAAACAGAGGTATTTTTTAAAAAGCATTTAAGCATTTATGAAAGCGTTTATTATTGCATTTCATTTGACATTAAAACAGTTCCCATATCTGAATTTATAATTAGATAATTTGTAAAGTTCCTTGTTTTTAGTGGAAATGCTGTCCTCGAAGCTCTTTTTATTTTGGTCGCAGTACAATGTAGTTGTAAGTTCATGAACTAATGAACATGTATTTAAATAAACTGTTTCTAGCTTGGGATGTTCTGGTATTTCTCAGTCAATAAATTATTGAAATTGAAATAAGAACTTTTTTTTCTCGAGACAGAGTCTCGCCCTGTCACCCAGGCTGGAGTGCAGTGATGCGATCTCAGCTCATTGCAACCTCCGCCTCCTGGGTTCAAACTACTCTCCTGCTTCAGCCTCCCGAGTAGCTGGGACTGGAAGAAATATTTCTCCTTATAGTCTACAAATTTCTTTAATCACTTCTACATACAACAAAGTTTACAGCCTAGTTGCAATTGGACCATATGTGGAAGAGAGATTCTTAAATATCAGGGAGATTATACAATTAAATATTTCCCTAGTGTTAAATAGAAGCACACATTAAGGATGCGGGTAAAGTATGAACTGAGTCTACAGTGAGGACTCCAACATCTGAAACCAAATAGGAGTCCATAGATTTAATGTTAATTAATTGGAGAGAAGTACTTTACACTTGCCTGATCCAAAGCACAGGGAATGGTAGAAGCCTGCTCAGTCTTATTCTCTGTAAATGGAATTTGTCCCAATCACGTTAACAATATCTAAAATACTGCCTGTTACAAATGAGACAGTTTATATAAAAATCCAAATGGTTCCAGAAATATGAGCATCTGGAGCTGTTAAGTGAGCATGGCTTTCAGGCACAGAGCTGCAGTTTCGGATATCCCCATGCCCACCCCTCCACCCCAGAATCAGTAATCATTGATTGCATCTAAATCTGCAGAGAGATCTTTTCCTGGCAGTTCAAGTAGTTACAGTAGATTGTTAATCTGCAAATGATCAGACTAAATCCCTTCTGTCTTCAGAATTTCCATGAAAATTAGAATTAACTGTATGAGATAAATTTATTAACCGTAGTCTGAGAGCATAGGTCAGCTTCAGCACAATTCTTAAACATAGATTTTTATTCATAAAAAGTTATACTCCATTTATGCTAATTTAACTATGGATTCACTTTATAATATTAACTGGTGAGATGGTTTTTTTAAAGTAGTTATAAGGAAATGAAAGATTTTCAGTGTGTTTTTCGGCTTTCTACAATACAGTTGTACTATTCCAGATATAAAATGTTCACATAAATAATTTTTTGTTTCATGTCGGATCTAAAACCAAAATTTAAACTTTCTTATGTCACTGTTGAAATAGGAGGCTTGTTTTGTATTTTTCAAAACAGGAACGAAAAAAGAATTAATAAAGAAAAAATACTCAAAGAATTGGGATGTGATAAACAGTAACAGAAATACATCAGGTCTTACAGAGCACAGGAGTGTCTTTAAAATATATTTGAAAGTTCAGCACAACATTTAATTGAAATTCAGCAGAAGAAAAGTAATATTCTAATAATAATATTTGTGTGCCATATTTTTATTTCACGAACATTTCACTTGAATATTAATTTGTTACAATGTATTTTTTGCTTTATTGACAAGTGGATAAGTTTAAGTGGAAATATATATTAGCAGCAATCTGCTTTTTTCTCTTTTGGATTTGTGATGTTATAAATCCAATATCTTACAGAATATGTAAGCCTTTATTTTTATTCAAATTTTCTAACTTAAAGGTTACTATGAATGGCCTAAAACATTATATTAGCAAATGAGCTCTGTTTGTTTTATTTACCTGTTTTTGTAAGAGATTTTGGTGATATCTAAATTTATTTTTAAAATTATCTAGGCCCCTACCATCATAAAGGCTTTAAAAATGGAAGTGGGCATTATTTATTAAAATGGTGAAAAGAGTATAGTATCTTTGAACAGATGCTGATCTTTTTTTCCTTCTTTATTTTTCAGGCCATCCGTTGCACACTGGTAAACTGCACGTGTGAATGTTTTCAGCCAGGGAAGATTAACCTGAGGACTTGTGATCAGTGTAAACATGGCTGGGTGGCACATGGTGAGGAAAATCTGGGCTTTTCTTCCCATTCTTATTATGTTCCCGTGTGTGTGTGTGTGTGTGTGTGTGTGTGTGTGTGTGTGTGTGTGTGTGTTGAGCAGTCACTGGAATGTGTGTGTGTGTGTGTTAGAGCAGTCACTGGAATGCGTGTGTGTGTGTGTGTGTGTGTGTGTTTAGAGCAGTCACTGGAGTGCGTGTGTGTGTGTTAGAGCAGTCACTGGAGTGTGTGTGTGTGTGTGTGTGTGTGTGTGTGTGTGTGTGTGTGTGTGTGTTAGAGCAGTCACTGGCCTGGAGAAGAGAGAGAGGTCAGCTGTGCTCCAAGTGTTAGTTAAGATTCAGCTTGTGGCTCACAAACAGAATATTCTCAGCTCCAAAAAGCAGTGCTAGGCAAGAGCTCTCAGCAGAAGGCCGAGATGTTTATAGGACATTTGGGCTGTGGGGTTCTTACTGAACATAGGCGCAGCCAGCAAGCACCAGGCCTGATGGAAACTCAAACATACCACAGTTGGCTTTTCAGGTCCTGGACCTCAGAGGGAAGCTGACAAATCCTCCTTGCTTGAGAACTCCTCGATGACTGCCCACCCTTGTCATATGTGCTAGGGGCTGAGTTTATCCTTCTAGATGTTAAATGTTGTATGGTCTAAGGTGGATGAGAGAGTGAACATTATCTGGCTGGTATCTGAAAATTTAACCTGTAAATGTTCCCTTTCAGTGTGCGTGGGGATTGGAGGTAGTTGACATAGGTAGAGTGTGAGCTCTGTGTAGGTGTGTGCTGGGGTGGGGAGACCCCATGCAAAGGATGTGAGTGTCGAGGCTTTTTGCTAGGTGCACAGAGCCGTTCTGTCAATGTGCCTTGACTGAGCATTCAGCATATTCTTGCGTATGGTTTATGTTTATTCTGTTTAAGCAAAAGGAGACTTAGAAATAAGCAGATTTTTTTCCCCACCACCCAGACTGTAGAATTTAAAAAGATAGATAGTGTTTATAAAAAGAAATCCTGGCTTGAGATTTTTTTGAGAGCCCTGGGTATTGGCTCTTAAGTGGACATATTCTTCATTCCCAAGCAGTGCCAAACATCCAGTGGGTTGTATTTTTATAAATGTCATGTTATTCTACCAAGATCTGAGGTAACAACACTGGGCCATGCCTTGAAATGCTTTTAATATATCATGTACCTTGCTAGTGAGGGCGTGTGTGATGGAGTTGCGGGGACGTTTCAGTCATGTTTCTGTGTGTGAGAGAGTAGCCTGAAGAATACCTGGGAAGGAGTATGTGGTCCTGTAATCCTTCATGTCCCCAGAGATGAAATGCTTTCCTGCCTTATTAACAGCAAGGCCCAAATCAGTAAGAATTCTCAATCCAGTCTTGAACAACAGATGAGCTGCTGTTACTTCTGCAGTCTCTATGATATTACATTAAATGATTTTGTCTCTCTTCCTGTATTGGTTTGCTAGGGCTGCCATAACAAATACTACAGTCTGGGTTGCTTAGACAGCAGAAATTTATATCCTCCAAGCTCTGGAGGCTAGAATTCCAAGATCAAAGTGTTGGCAGGGCTGGTTTCATTCTGAGGCCTCTCCTGGTTTGTAGATGGCTACCCTCACATGGTCTCTTTTCTGTGGGTGAATGCCCTGGTATCTGCAACCTCCACCTCCTGGGTTTGAGCAATTCTCCTTCCTCAGCCTTCTCAGTATCTGGGATTATAGGCATGTGCCACCATGCCTGGCTACGTTTTATATTTTTAGTAGAGACGGGATTTCACCAGGTTGGCCAGGATGGTCTCGAACTCCTGACCTTGTGATCCGCCTACCTCGGCCTCCCAGAGTGCTGGGATTACAGGTGTGAATCACTGTGCCCAGCCCCTGGTGTCGTCTTGTGCATCCAAATTTCCTCTTCTAAGGACACCGGTCAGATTGATTAGGGCCCACCTTAAGGGTCTCATTTTAACTTAATCACCTCTTTAAAGACCCTATATTTAAAAATAATCACATTCTGAGATAGTAGGGGTTATGATTTCAACTTAGGAATTTTGGGGGAACACAGTTAAGCAAACCATAACATTTCCAAAATATCCTTTTTTCTCTGAAGAATTACTGATTTTGCTAGGTAATAGGTATAGAGCTTATGTACTAAACCCATCAAGAATCTAAGAGCATTGGAGGCAGTATGGATGTAGACTGTTCTGAGGTGAAATCCTGGCTCTGCCACTTTATGACATGTTAATATCTTTGGACTTCAGTTTTCTTGTCTGTAAAATAGGATTAATAGTACCTATTTTACAGTCATATTTTGAAAAGTAAAGAGAAAATATTGAAGCCTTTCTAAATAATACATGTTAAAAGTAAAATGGACCATAGATGAGCACTAAAGGGGAGGCCAGTCATTAAACAAAGGGCATTTCATTCATTGACTCTCATTTTGGCCAAAGCCATCATGTATTGTCATTATCTATCTACTGTGGTAGCCTGTAAGTATAAAAGTTAAGGGTGTCACCAGAGTTTGTTTTATCTATCAGTGTCCATGTACATATTACGTTAGCAGTGTAAAGGGAAAAGCAATGTTTTTTGCTTCTTGAACAACATAAATTATTCCTGGCCAGTGATTGTTTCAAAGACTTTCTGAAGAATGTCATTTTTCACCCAAGCTGAATAGGATGTTTCTGTTACACCAGACTGTGCTTTTCCTACTGTATCATTAAAAATTCTAGGTTTCTGGGATATTAATTTTCGTGTTTCTCAGGCCTTAGCAAAATGAATTCTCATTCTTTCCCTTAACAATTATCACCTTGACCTGTCTTTTCCCACAACAGGGAGGTATCTGTATACAGCTCAAAATACATACACCCAGGCATGCGAATCCCACACTCTCCCCATTCAAGAGGGCAAATAAAGCTGTGAGGGGTTGGCCTCTAGCCTTGGAGTTGGCATTGGGATGAGAGCACCCACTCTTTTTGCCCCTAGCATTACAACTAATTGCTTCATTCCCTCCCTCTGCACAGAAACCCTGAAATCATGTCTCCAATTACTTCTGCTCAGAGGTGAAACACAGCATTCTTTCTGGCTGCCTTATACCATGCAGTGTCCTGTGTGTGGGGCAAGGAGGAAGTGAGTTGGGTTTTGTAGTGTGTGATTTTCCTCTGAAAATGCATGAAACAGCAACAAGACTACCAAGATACATTGCCTGGAATGGTTTCATGGTAGTGCCGAATTCATTCTACCTGTTATTGTGTCAATAAAAAAAAATGTTAATATCTGCTGCTAAAAAATAACCAAATGCCAAAATCATGTATTCTCTTTAAAATGAAGAATTTTTAGAAATTTGTTGACCTCCTTTCTTGAATTAATATCCTCCTATTTTTCCCCTTGTTAATAGCAATTTCAGCTTGTTCCCAAGATGTTGGATTTCATGGCCCATTATATACCATATATATGCACATATGTGTGTCTCTATATGTGTACACACACATAAACACACACTCTGTTGACTTACAGATTGCTTCTTAAACCTGCTTGAGTTTTTGAAATTAGCTACTTTACAGAAATCTTTAGAAATGTGTTAAAAAAATATTAAAGGCCAGGCATGGTGTGTCATACCTGTAATCCCAGCACTTTGTGAGGATGAGGCAGGTGGATCGTTTGAGCCCAGGAGTTCAAGACCAACCTGGATAACATGGCAAAAATCTTGTCTCTAGAAAAAGTACAAAAACTAGCCTGGTGTGGTTGCATGCACCCACAATCCCAGTTACTTTGGAGGCAGTGGCAGCGGGCTGGGGGTCGGGGTGTGATTGAGCCCAGGAGGTCGAGGCTGTAGTGAGCTGAGATCATGCTACCGCATTCCAGTCTGGGTGACACAGTGAGAGTCTGTCTCAAAAATAAATAAATAAAAAATAAAGAGTGATTAATTCATTATATTGCTGGGTTTTGAAATTATTGGTACTAAGAGGGCTGTGTTACTTTTCACAAAATATTTCCTTAAAATCCTTAGCATTATTGAATTAAGGGGGAAAGGAATCTCAGCAGTTCTGAATATCAGTAGGCATTTCCCACTAAATTAATAAAGGATTTCCTACATTACCACCACCCTGCCCCACATTAAGGAATCTTAGCTCTTTCACTCTGATAATAGAAAGCAGGGCTTACTAAATTTAACTTTACTTAAACTTTTTTTTTTTTTTTTTTTGTAAAAGATGGCCGTACCTACTCTGTAATAACTTAGTTGGTGGGCCAGAAATGGCTCAGGGTTTCTAATTTTGTTGTCTCTGTAAAAGGACTCCAGCTTACTGCCACTTAATTCACTGAAATACTGTAAGTAATATATATTTTTTGCTTTCCCTTATTCGCTTTGTCTTCTCTGTGTTTTTCCTTCTTCACCTCAAATGATCTGAGTGTGGCTTGAAAAACAACAACAACAACAACAGTTTTCTGGAAGTTCAACTCTTTTTGATTCAAAAGTGGCAAAATAAGATTGAGATATCAGGATAAGAGCAGTAATGGGTTCCCTTTTCTGGTGATGTAATTTTTTTTCCCCTTTTAACCATTTGCCTCCACTCTAGAGAAGTAATTTGACTATTCACAGAATTGAGACGTCAGCCAATTATTTTACAGAATCTTAAAAATTAGCTGGTACTACTAGAATACACCCAGCATTGGGTACAGGTGGAAGTGAGTCCTACTTAACTATTCTTCCTTGAAGAATATCTGCTTATAACGAGAAGCATTACCAATAGAAGTTTGCTGTCTTTATGAAAAACAGGAGGCATTATGTAAAGGCTGAGGACTGCTGCATGGACCCATTTTTATTGTTTTATTGCAAATTAGTTTTACTGTCCATAGTTCAGATGAAGACTTTATTTCTAAACCATTAAGATGAAGGCAAATAAAATAGTAAAAATAAGAAAGACAGTAAACTAAATTCTAAGGGATTTTAGGAAATATTTAATGATAATCTAATATAACTAGAAAATTGTTTTTATGCCATGATGGTGTATATTTGATTTGTCT